AATGCATGATACAGCGCATCGCAGTGACGCGAGTGTCGAGCGCATGACCTAAATGAAGCACCTTGAATCGAATGGAAATAGGGACAAAATCGTATTAATACGTAACGTGATGTACGCTTATGATCATTGGTAAACGCCTGGTTTTCTCGTTCGAACTGGTCATGGAGTGCATGACTTGCAGCCGCACGCCACTGTCTGCAGAAATTCTCTCCTCAGGCAAAGTCAAGACGGTTCGAGGAGATCCAGAAAGGCCTAACGTTCCATGTCCGCACTAAAATGGTTCGTGAAAGCATGAATAGGCCTGCGATTCGCCTAATGTTACATGCCTTCGATGAGTTGTCTGGAAGACCACGGGTTCACTCTTATAGGCTCATTGGCCCTGAATTGAGTTTATTGAGTTTCCTTTGAACGGAAAATGGAAGGCCTTGGCGGGACCTGAGGGCGGTCTGCTGGTGATGTCCTACGTCTAACGTTTGTGCCTCCCATAGAGAAGGGGGGGATTGAACAAAGGGAAAGCCTTCGAAAATTGATTTCTCTTGTGATTTCCAGTAACCCTTTCTCACGCCCTTTCTTGCTGGGGCACGAATTCATTCATAAGAGGGCCACGCATAGTTCAGCCTCTAAAGGGGGTTTCAGAATTCCGGTCGATTTTCTCTTCCCCAGTCGGGGATATTCCAACGCCCAGTTATAATTTGGATTTGTGTAATAATCTATATATCCAAGCCGACCCGTTGAAGACTTCCACGAACTTCTTTATGAAGAGTTCCCGAGTTCATTCGGCGGCCCTAAATTCAGTGGCTCTCTCAACGCTCTGGGCAGCAACTGCTTTATCAGTTTATTGCTGGGAACCCAGTACTCGCATTGATCGACACTTTCTCCTATAGATCACAACCCTGTCCGCATCGTCCGTTAAAACCATCACCATCACTTTTCATGCAAAGCTATTAGTGAAAAATACAAATATAGAAACGGGATGGTTACGACACGACCGGTGGCGTCCTGGCGATCCAAGGATAAGCCCCCCTGTTATATCCCACCAGATGGGATCCCGCCACTTTCGCACTCGGAAGTTAATCTCCTTCGCAAGGAGGAAAATGGGACTCCAAGTGTTGTACGTGAGTTTTCCCGCATGAAAGTTCGAATCAAGGGGTGAACACCCCTTTCTTTGAGGGGGGGGGCGCAATTCGTACAATGACTCCCTCTTATTCTCAAAAACAGATCTGACAGTCGCGAAAGCCAGGGAGAAAGTGCGAGCTCTAGCTCGTGAGATAGGCACCTTAACCCGCGGAAGCTTTCCACAAACTGTTTCTCTGGCATCCCCGAGTATTAGTCGACAGCCCTAAAACTCAGCGGCCCTCTCAACGATAGGCAGCAGCTGCTCTATCCCGTCCTCGAGCATGACCACGAACTTCGGGCCGGTCTAGGCCAAGGGTGTCTAACTTCCGGCCAGCTAATTTATTTCGTCTGGACAGCGAAGTCCTCTCTAACAGTTGGTTTTGGAGGAGCGTGGACTTTTTCAACTTTTTAGCAATTGAAACTTTAGTTTAAGATTTGCTAATCTGGACCCAACCACTCCTGAAGGGTTCCATCCGTCCCCCAGATCGATCAAGTTTGACATCTCTGGCCTTGGCTAACCGTGTAACATTTGTAACATTCTCAGGAATACGCGAGTTCAGTCAGCGGCTTTTTTAACACTACGCAGCAGCCGCTCTCTCCCGTTCTCGAGAACGAATCCGACAGTCGCAAAGACTCGAAAGAAACTGCGAGCTGTAGAGTGAGACGGAGACCCCAACCCGTAGAAGACATTCACGAACTCTGTGTCGGGCCGACGCTTAACAAAAACCAAAAAACCTTAGCTGCAGTCAAACGGAGAGACATAGAAAGCTAAAACTTGGCATAGACGTGTCTAGTGAGACAAAACTTTCAGGAAAAATGTCACGTTTCATATGCATTTCCTGGGAGCATACATTTGGGGGTGACGTTTTCAAATAATTTTTCTTGTCCACTGAATTGTACAGAAATAGAAATATGAAACTTGGTACAACAATAACTGCGTGATAGTGAGTTCAGAAAAATCCAGCTTTTATGGTGCATACCCTCAGGGCACAGCTTTTTGCTACGTCGGCTTTTCCAAAATTATTTTTGGCACCAGCAAAAGAGCCAATGGATAAGTCTGAAGCTCGGTATGCACGTAGTTCTCCGAGTTAGTTCTGATTTCAGTAAAAATGTTAATTTTTAGGTAATGTCCCTGAGGGCATATTTTTGGGAAATGGTGCATTTTCCAGAAACGTTTCTGATTCAATGGAGAGAACTAAAGAAAGTTGACATTTGGAGCAGAAGTTCCTGTTCGATTGCTTAGTACATGTCCTACTTTTCAAAATGACCCCTCAGGGCAGATTATGAAGAGATTTGAATTTAGGCACTCAAGAAACCATAGGAGCAAATCATTCCGATGAAAATATCGGTTTGTTCTCTCTCGACACACATACCGACGAACACATACTTTTAATGCGTTTTTGCCACTTTGAAAATAATTTAATGAATGAATCACTATGCAGGGAATGGAGGGCAGAAGGCCCAACAATAGCGAGTTTGTTTGCCCGAATGGCAAACATTCTTGCTAGTATCATATAATAACCTTTCCACTCTTAGAGTGCACTCTTCATTGGCTTCTTGCGACACGTCGTGAGTCTCCAGCGCCGTTTTCCCGAGTTCCAAGCATAATTTTATGCAAACTCGCTGCTCCTGAATTCGCCCAATCTGAACTTGAGCGACCGGCTATATCGCACCCGACTGCAAAGGTTGCATGGCAAGAATGCGAATATCCATAGCCCTGTCGTTCCTTGGGGTATTCAAGCGCACTATATAGTTTATTGCTACAGTAGTAGATAGCGGATCCCATTCAATATATTAGAAAATCAGTATCCTGACTTTTTGAAACATCTCGCATACAGTAGAAAAAGCTCGGAATAACAAAGACAGAAACGAGATGCATGTCTGCAATATCGAGCAGTCTATTTGAAGCGCTAGTCCATTTTCAAATGGGAAGCACGGATTTGTGCGAAGGGTTGAAATCCCCAAGTTATGCGCACTATATGATAAATTCAGTCGGACTGAAATGTTGATACCTCGTAATTATCTGAATATCCCAAAGGAGTTAGAGCCTGGCTGTACTTAACGGCATTTTAGAATTATAATGGAAAATGATGCCATGATATTCAGCGGGACTGGAGGATACAAGAAACTGGGATTAGGAGAAGAAATGTATTATCTATATTACGACAAGAAAGAAATTGTGCTCATGAACACATTCACACAGTAGAGTTATTGTGCTGAAGCTTCCAGCTGTCAGGGTACCCAAAGGAGTCCATGTCTTCACAGGTCCATATAGTCGACGATATCCAAGAGTCCATGTAGTTGACTTCTCCCAAATGGCTCATCCATTCCGATTCGTCTTCGCTTTCCTCAAAGGTCTTTACGACATATCCGTTGGTCAATGTCCAACAGGACCGGAACGATGCGAACTCGAATCTCTGTTTGAGAACAACATTCAGCGGTGAAATCATTGTGTGGCGATTCTTTAAATTACTGCAGCATCGCGGAAAAAAAAAAACAGATTTTGGAAGTTTAGTTTATTATGTATGACGCCTATTTAATCTGATATAAAATGAGAACCAATGTCCATGATTCTCAAAATAATTTTTATATGCTTATCCTTTCTACGCTTTTTTGTCTTTCAAAGGCAATCTTCATCCTAATGTGTTATTTCTATGCTGGGTTGCGGAATTAAACATTTGATTTCGTAAACTGAAACTTGAAACAAACGACTACAAAGTTGCTTTGAAACGTTACAAACATCCTTAAAGCTCTTTAAAGCTTGGCATCAACCCAATGTGGGAAATTAATGGCACGAGACAAACGCGAATACGAGGCACTCAAAAGTACGATGACGCACGAACGGCCTCCATAGCGTCCCGCTGTGTCCACCGTAGCTGCAGGATGTGACTTGAATTGTTGGCCGATACTGGCGCTGCATCTCATACGAGCTGCGCGCTATGTTTCCTCAGAAATGGCGGATTGAAGGAACGTTTCTCTCCATACGGCAACGCATGGGAAAGAAATATAACTGAAGATGCGACCTCAGTTGTTCTCAATTTCAAGCATCCTCTCTGATACCTATCCCATTAAAAAATCTGCAAAACATCTCCTACCTGAGAGGTCTCGCGAGAAGTTCCGCCCAGCAGACGTAATACGAGATGCAAATTGGAGCCTCTCTCGATGTTGTAGAACGAAACTTTTTTGTCGTCTTCCAATTGCTTCCCAACATGGATCAGCCGCTGTTGTTCGGGTGGAACGCCTTCCCTTTCTTCGATGCAGCTCTTCACTTCCTTGATGGTCGTATTCGGATCGACGTCTAAAGCGATGGTCTTTCCTGTCAAGGTAACCACGAATATCTGGAAGATTTCTCCCGTGTGCTGTCTTTCTGGCCTATAAAAGAGGGTGAAAATAATTTTTTAAATCGAAAAGGAATCCCTGTTTTCGCTTCCATTTTGAAAAATGAGTAAATAAAGTAAATTGTTTGCATTTGTTTTGCTCGTTATCTTGTGTAAAGAGGGTCCAGAATATTATCAATTGAATTCTGGAAAATTGTCCGAAAATTTGATGTAACACCAACGGAAAACTCAGCTAGTAGCAGTCCTAATGTCAGTTCAATAAGAATGTGACTCGTTTTTTGCTGCCTTGATGAGGTAGGCATTCCAGTCTAAAGGGATGCTACCGTTTCATCATTTCCGCGATGATGTCGCATCTCTCCATTTCTTCCAAAATGCGCTCCACGTCGTAGAACGTAGACTTCGCGTCCTTCTGATTCAGGATGAAGTAGACCCCGTCGACTTTGTGCTTATAGGTAGACCTCTCTTTCAATTCCTTCTCTTCGACCGTGGTAATGAGGTCCTTCTCCGACAACTTGTCCAGGAAGTGATCCATGTCCAGCGGCTTTTCCCTCTTTATGATCACTTTCAGGCGCTTCAGGTAGTTTTTGTACTCGGACATCTGCAAAGAGAGGAATGAAAGGTTCAGATATAGTTAAGTTACATACCCAAGAACGATTAGAATGATAGTATTGAGTGTCTTATTAAATTATGTGGCAAAGTAAATGCTAATAGCTTAAGTACATAGCACATCTTTCGTTTGACTATGTTTGGATGAGGCAACGTCACCAGTTGCATTTAGTGCGATATTTGGGCCTCTCCATATAAGGCCAACACTGCTAATTGCGGAAAATCTATGTGTCAACGTCATGCATAAATTAAGGATAGTAGGAGCTCTCTGCCAAGACATTACGAACGAATGGAAGCAGCGAGATGCTTCTTTACACATAGGATAGGATTCATTAAAGGCACAGGAAAATATCCTTACGGAATTAAGGTGCCACGGTGGCAGTCTGCGACAACGATCATGTTCCAACCGCGATGCACGAGAGACGGAGAGGGAGGTCTTTCGAAGAGAAGTCATAACTACGTTGAGGGTGCAAGCACATACGAGTGATAAGCCTTCCCGAAGAGAAGCTTGTCGATAGCGATGCGATCATGAGACCTATGGCTTCATCGAGCATCAAAAGTTTGAATATGCTATTCTCATATTCCTAGCAGCAGATTAGGTTGCTTCTAAATTTCCGTGCAAAAGCTTTATCATCTCAAACTCAATATAGCAATGCATAGGTCTTCTCTGCATGAGCTATTGTAAACTGCTGGCACCCACAGAGCAAAGGCTTTGAACTCGAACCTCAACTCCTCTGAATGCGAAGACTTGGTGAGAACCCACTCTTCATGCATTTTACTCCTCTAGCCACTGCATGCACTTCGGGGACACGTATGCCGTCGCTTACTCCTCGTTTCTATGAGTATCAGCGCATTTCTACAGGTATATTGCTCTCAGAAAATTAAAAAAGTTGGCGGAAATTTACAAAGGAGGATGGTTGAGATGTAAATTATTATTGGTGAGGGTGCAAGTACGACTTTTGACTATTACCGCATGGGAGTGCTCTCGTGTTTTTGGATGCGTGAATGGAAATAACATGGAAATGTATTTTGGTAAAAGAACTCTTATGTAAAAAAAAAAAGACACTTCCGTGCGTAAACCCACCCTCTAGTGAAAATATTTTTTGCCAGCAACTTTCATGCGGGAGTGGACGTGGAAATAAAGGCTCTTTAACTTTAACCAACTTTTATGAGGTACAGTAAAGGAAGGAAATGTTTCTTGTTATTTCTCAATATAAGGTGTCATGCACCGAATCAGTTAAACTACTTTGATCTCACCACGATCCCCGACGGGAATCGGCTTAACGGAGATGCGCTTATACCCATAGACACCCATAAAAATAAATATTAGGGTAAATTAAAAAGTAAAGGGAATTTTCTCGTTAAAAAAATTTATTCAGAAATGATACAGGCTTACAGAGTAGTACATTTCACCACTTAATCTCCAGACTTCATTGCACAAGTTTCCCACCGCTTTACCTGATTCTTTATCCTGTCAGAATAAAGCTATTTCGGTTGTTGTCGAAGCCATGATTGCACCGCATCCATTACCTCACTGTCTCTGGAAAATCGCCGACCTCGCAGAGCGTTCTTGAGCGGCCCAAAGAGGTGAAAGTCTGACGGAGCGAGGTCTGGGCTGTAAGGAGGATGTCTCAGAACTTCCAAGTTCATATCCTGTTGAGTCTCTACAGAGAAGCAGTGTGTGGCCGAGCCATTTAAAAAATACTACGAAAAACAAACTCGTATGAAACTCACTCATATCAAAATTGTCAGTAAACTGTGCAATTGCATTTTTGACAGATAGCGGGACAACCTAGCCTGTTTCAACCAAAACAGCCAACTGTCTGAGATCAATAAATAAAAATTCCCTTTACTTTCTGATTTACTCTCGAATAAAAATCAGTTTAGTTACATGGATCTGTTGCATGTCACTCATATTCTCCAACACTGACACACTTTGCCCACTGATCTACCAGGTTTCTCATTCCTACACCATAGAAGTCTACTCTTCGACTATCGGCTTGCTTCATCGTTATCGAATGTTCTTCGTGTTCTTTCCACCAAAGCTTCCATAGGGGACGCAGGCACTCAAGATTTCATGCGTTAGCCTTGTGTTCTTGGTCCCACGAGATAGAAATACAAAATAGGATTTTTGCAGTTAACATGCTAAGCGGACAAAACAAACGGAAGTCAGAGGAAACGAAATCTTTACCATATTAATTGGATGCGGGAACACTAAATGACTTTGTTCGGTCGCTCGTGCCGCTTCGCTTGTGGCTACAGTAATGAAAATGAAATGGACAATTGAGTAAAGTCATGTTACTATGGTACGATAAGGACTGCATATTGGCAGAAGAACTACCTAACAGGTGCAGGTCTTACAGTGAAGGGCACTCCCATATCCTCAGTATAGCCCAGATGTTTTCCCCCAGCTTTCCGTTTGTTTGACCCCTCTCATGAAATGGTGTCATCCGTGGTGGAAGATTCATGGATGATGAGTAAGTGAAAGGGGCGATACAAGAGTGACTATGGAATAAACTAAGACGCTCCTATGCAGTAGGAACCATGAAATTGGTAAACCAGCAGAAAAAGTTTCAAAGTGGTAGGAGATAACACGGAAACGTGACAGCACGGTATTTTTTCTCGTTGGCCCACTGTGCGCAAGCCGGCTTATAACTAAGAAGTCTTTACCAATGAACCTTCGGTGTACCCTTGCACCTGCTAGTGTAAAATCCCAACCCTATGAGGTCAGGGAGCCATGCGAGTGGAAATGAGAATGGGCCAGCGCGAGCACAAGAGGATAAGCGAAGAACAAAGAGCGACGCGCGAAAGAACAATGGGCAAGGGAGAGGCGTGGCGTGCCCACCTTGCAAGTGAATCATGGAATGAGAACGCAGAAGATGTCGGTTGAGTAGATATTTCCGACGGATCCAAGGGGCCCATTCCCTCATGGTTGTTAGGCAATATTAACAAAGGGATTCATTCTGTCTCGATGGGATGTAGTTCAATCGTTCATCGATGGAATTTTTTTGCCGGAAACGCGTGCATGACATGATTCAACGCGAGGACAAAGGAGCGCATCGATGAAGCATGAAACTCACTTTTCTCCTTCTGCTCCAGAGATGCCGTCGAATCCGAGTTTAGATGATTTACTCGAAGGTTCGCATTCAACACCTGCGGAATAGAAGATCCCAAATGAGGTTCTCCGTGCGCCCAGAGCACCGCGGACGGAATCCCGGTGTCAACAATAAAATCATCTCATTCATATGCTCTGGCTTCTCTCATGGGTAAGGAAAACTCCCATGTTTGCACCTTTTCGTTCTTGTGCCACTCAATGACCTATTTTCCTAGTCACTTGTCACTTGCACAGTCCTCATTTAGCCTCAAATCACATTCGACTCCAAATGATGGAGTTGGGGCCAGAGGGGTTCACTTCGCTTCTGTCAAGGTTTGGGCTTCATCACTCGAGGTACCATCGATCCTCTAAAATTTACAACAGAATGGATCTTGCAATGACAGCACGTACGTCCATAACATTGGCTTTGCATCATTTCCGAAAGAATGTTTCGAGCCTTTGTAGCATACGAGATGTGATACATGCGCAACTTCGCAGAACATGGAACGAATCCTTTGTGAGCTGGCACAGAAAGTCAACAGGGTGAATGGAAAGGAAGCGTCAAGAATCGGGAGGATGCCATTCCTTCTTACCAAGAATTAAATGCAGATGCAATGCCACACTTCCTTCTGCAGTCCCTGCCGTCAAGCACAGAAAGGTTTCACTCTGGCCTGTCGTCCATATCATAACAGGGGCAGAGCAAGAGGGGCCTGAGTGGAGCTAAAACCTTCTTAAGTTTGATCATCTGCCCCAAACTCTGGCTATTTCCCCACCCCCCTTCCCTCCTTCCCCTTCACAACCGTCCACCACTTGCAAATAACTTCCGCACGTTTTAGTGAGAAGCTGAAATCCTAACCCCACTCCGTTTCGCCTGGCTCCGGTTATAAAGAAACCCTGGTTACGCCACCGTCTCAGACCAGATAACACTATGATAAGGATTCAAAGAACTGGTCTCCAACTCGGATTTCAATACAGCAGGAAATCGCAGCAAATCTTACATTGTTGTGACTCGTTCTCATTTGCACGATTATAGTTTGGTTTTGCACTCTTGAAGGCTCGGAGTCGGAAATCAAATTGCATTGCTTCCTATAATTGTATCCTGATTCAGTGAAACACCCGAGAAACTTTACTGCATCGCTATTTCCAGGATCTCGCTAGGTGGACTGGTGCCGCCCATTGAAATGGATGTAGTGGCGTTGTAAGGGTGGGGGGGGGGGGGGGGGGGGGGTGGGGAGGACTGGAGGTTAGATGCCCCTGCAAGTTCGGTTCTTGTTCCGCCGACTCTGGTCCAAAGCGTCCGCCGCCCAACGCCGGCCGAGAAGTTTCGGGAATCTTAGCCTCCCCCTCTTTGTTTTCTTTAATCCCTTCTGGCGAGACCCTGGTTACGTCACTGAACGGAGGGCGTTTATCCGACGTCAGAAACATCTTGGATATGAGGAAACACAGTCAATATGCCTTCTTTCGCCTTTCGAAGTGGATTACGTGGAGCATCGAGGTGAGGGTGGTCGATTCACTATTTTCACTTCGTTTCCACGTGACTCTGTTCCGCTGACGTTAGGGTCATATTTTATATAATATCCCAGTTGAGTAGTCAGAGCTGGTGATATCACCATGGATAAATAGTGGGGAGGGGAGAGGAGAGGAAAGCAGATTCGAGTGAAGGTTGTCTAATGCGGGGGCGGGGAACGCCGACTGGGGATGGAGAGATCTCTGGAACTGCTTAGTTCTTGTGATAACGGAGACTCAACAATTTCCTATCCTACCCTCGTTCCGTTACTGATGCCTCCTTTATTCAGGAAAGCATATCTCTGGTCGATATGGTATCCTCTATACCCTATCACGCTGGTTCCAATGAAGCGGTAGAAAATATATAGGTGGTGTAATGCCAACACAAACTG